ATAGAAGAAAGCCCAGTAGATTAGTCAGGGACATCTAAATAGCTGGTTTCTCAGCGGGAGCAAATTTTGGATTTGGCCTTCAGAAACATGAACTATTCTTTCAGAAATCTCTGGCACTGCATAGTGCTATGCTTCCCCCCATGAGAGCTGTTCACTTACCACCTCTTCCTAGCTGGAGACCCAGGCTTACACTAGCCTATGAGGTACGATGAAAGAGGAAGCCTAGAGAATTGCAGGCATAATTACCACAGAGATAGGCAAGGCAGTTACGGTGACAATAAATATTTAAGATATCTGGGAAGTTGTTTTGTTTTTTTGTTTGTTTGTTTGTTTGTTTTGAGACGGAGTCTCTGTTACTCAGACTGGAGTGCAGTGGCATGATCTTGGCTCACTGCAACCTCCGTTTCCCAGGTTCAAGTGATTCTCCTGCCTCAGTCTCCCAAGTAGCTGAGATTACAGGCATGTACTGCTATTTTTGTATTTTTTTTTTTTTTTTGAGACGGAGTCTTGCTCTGTCGCCCAAGCTGGAGTGCAGTGGCGCGATCCTGGCTCACTGCAAGCTCCGCCTCCTGGGTTCACGCCATTCTCCTGCCCCAGCCTCCCGAGTAGCTGGGACTACAGGCGCCCGCCACTGCGCCCGGCTCATTTTTTGTATTTTTAGTAGAGACGGGGTTTCACCGTGGTCTCGATCTCCTGACCTTGTGATCCGCCCGCCTCGGCCTCCCAAAGTGCTGGGATTACAGGCGTGAGCCACCGCGCCCGGCCTATTTTTGTATTTTTACTAGAGATGGGGTTTCACCATGTTGTTCAGTCTGGTCCTGAACTCCTGACCTCAAATTATCCACCTGCCTCAGCCTCCCAAAGTGCTGGGATGACAGGCATGAGCCACCATGACTGGCCTCTGAGAAGGTTTTTTTTTTTTTTTTTTGAGATGGAGTTTTGCTCTTGTTGCCCAGGTTAGAGTGCAATTGCGCGATCTTGGCACACTGCAACCTCTGCCGCCTCTGGGAAGCTTTTAAGAGCAGGATGGTGACAACTACGAACAGATTCATATGCAAACTGATGGTTGGGACAGGCATTTGACAAATTTGCAACTGATTTGCCTGACTTATCCTGAAAAGAGCTCACCCTTTCACTTGAATGATGCTGGCCAGAACACTCTGCTGCTGCTTGAAGGTATTTCCTGTGTGGAGTCCCCCAGTGAGTACAAAAATATGGGCCAAGTGTAGCCCAGACATCTGAGTAAATCTCACTCAATTGTGGATCCACATGAGAAGAAGTAAAACCAATGTCCCGTTTCCTACACTGACACGGAAGATGCTGCTTGTCTCAGCACCTGGCTTGTCAAGCAGCCACGCTCAAACCTCTGATCCTCTTTGATCCTGCCTGACACTGCTTCATAGAATTTCAATTCCAGAGGAACTCAAATCAGCAATATTTTCTTTATGTTCTAGTTCTTCCCCCCTCTTGCCCACTCACCTTTTCTCATAGTCCTAGGATCAGGGCTTTTGAAGTTATATAACTTAATATGAGTAGGAATCACTTGGATTTGGGAAGAGAGGAGTGTTGATATAGTGGAATATAAGTAATTTACAAATTGATATATGCATTCTAAATATATGCCTGTGAAATTTCTGCAATTCTAAAATGGGAATAGAACCAAAATATTTAGTCAGACATGATAATTATAGCTAACATTTATTGAAGGCTTATAACGGGCCAGCTACTGTTCTAATTGCTTTACATTTATTAGCTAATGTTCTCATAATAGTCCAGTGAGACAATTCTTATCACCATTTTACGAAGCAAGAAACAGGCACAGAGAGGTTGTGACTTGTTCAAAGTCACCACTGGGTGATGGAGTCAATATTGGGACCCATGTCTTGTGACTCCCCCAATCACAGTGCCATGCTGCCAGTACAGTTCCAAAATGATAGTAACTCTTGCCCCTTAACTTTGAAAGAGTTTTGCAAAGCCTGGTCTCATAATATGTAAAGAACAGTGCTTGAATTTCTTGCCTCATAAGTATCAATAACCAGAAAGTAATATTTTGGAAAGCAGTATCCCTGGATATTAATTAGCTTGCTTATGTATGTTAGCACCCTAGGGCTGCTGTGATAAGGGACCACAGACTAGGTACTAGGTGGCTTAACACAACAGCATTTTCTTCTCTCCCAGTTTTGGAGGCTGGAAGTCTAAAGTGGAGGTGCTGGCAGGGATGTGCTCTCTCAGAAGGTTCCAGGGGAGGATCCCTCCTGGTCTCTTCCAGCCTCTGCTGGCTGCTGGCTCTCCTTGGCCTTCCTTGCCTTGTGAATGCAGCTCCCCACGGCCTGCCTTCATCACACAGAATTCTCCCTGGGTGTGTGTCTTTGTCTACATTTTTCTCTTCTCAAAAGGACACCAGTGGTCGGGCACGGTGGCTCACACCTGTAATCCCAGCATTTTGGGAGGCTGAGGTGGGTGGATCACCTGAGGTCAGGAGTTCGAGACCAGCCTGACCAATATGGTGAAACCCCATCTCTACTAAAAATACAAAAAGTAGCAGCATGTGGTGGCATGCGCCTGTAATCCCAGCTACTTGGGAGGCTGAGGCAGGAGAATCACTTAAACCCAGGAGGTGGAGGTTGCAGTGAGCCAAGATCACACCATTGCACTCCGGCCTGGGGAACAAGAGAGAAACCCTGTCTCAAAAAATAATAAAAAATTTTAAGATTTAAAATTACAATTAAAATTTAAAAAAAGGACATCAGTCATTGGATTAGGGCCCCCCAATCCTGGTATGACTTCATTTTAACTTGATGACATCTGTAGAAACCCTATTTCCAAATAAGGTCACCCATGGTCTTGGAGTTTGGACTTAAACATACCTTTTTGGGGCACATAATCAACAATAATATACATATCTAATTAGCCTGTATTATCACCTATGTTTTAATTTTGAGAATAAAACAAGAATAATGTTTCCCCATGCAATTTCTTTCTTTTTCCTCCAAAACACATGCATAATTCTTTTATTTCTTCCTTAAAACAGCATCTAATCTACCAGCAGATGTTTCTCCCATAATAACAGGCACGTAATACCCCACTTGAGAGGTCTGGGATTGGGTGGAGTGGTTCTCATGATAGCTTTTTTATTTTGTAGCGGACGCCTTTTTATTTTGTCTTCTAAATTGCTTTTCCATTACTTGTTTATAATATTAACAGCTAAAACCACAGTATGGGAGTGATCATATAGTTGACATTTACAATTAACGTTATACAGCCAGAATTTCTCCATGTTATTGCAAAAACTTAGCTGATGTGTTAACATTCCTTATAATATTTCAGCAAATTAAAAATATACAATTAAATCTTTCTCATAGTTGACACTTACATTCTTCTCATTTTTTTTCTTTTGTATTAGTACTGCAGTGAATATTTGTGCTTATATCTTTTTTCTTCTTTTGTTCTTTTTTCCAAGAGGAATTTCTAAAAAAATATAATATTTTGGTGTATCTTGATAGCCTATCGTTTGATATTGCTTGCTGTCACAAATTGCACTAGAATCACCCCAACATTGTTATCACAATCTGATCATTTAAAATTTTGTTTTAAATAGCCTTTTATTGTTTACATTTTAACTTCATTATTATCATGGTTGAACAGTTTTCAAATGTGTTTCTTCTAAACATTAAAATCATCTGGGAACTGAAAAAAAAAAAGACAGCTTATCTTTCTTTCGCAGTTGTTAAAAACATGTGAGAAGGAAGTTAGATTGAATTAGTTGCATAACCCAATATTTAAGGTTTCCTGAGTCAATACAGCCACATATTTTTTTTTGTTCCTAATGCCAAAATTTTTAAATTTCATACTTAAAAGAGCCAACATTAACACACACACACACACACACACACACACACATTTGCTTTATTAAGATACATTTGTTAGAACAAAAGACCCAGTATATATAACTTGTTTTACTTAAATAACATTATTTGAATGTATACTGTGTTCAGTGGTGCTTTCCCCCTAGTTTAGTATGGTGAACACATGTCCTAAATATTCAGTATAAACTTGTTGAATGGAAGATGATTCACCCCTTAATGAATTTATAAGTATCTGCTTAAATTATCTTTAGTAAATAAAATTACCAGCTTGTCAGTCACTTTTCTAAAATGGCTGCTTGCTAAATTAATTTACAAGTTTATCAAATTGCATTTATGACTTTAAAATGTATAGTAATATGCATTGATTAGGAATTTATAAGATTTCTGAAATGTGTGCATTTAAGATTCTATGGATGATTAGAGGAGACATATTTCAAAAAGTGTATATCCTCAATGATATGTCTTTTAAGTCACATCTACTTTATATCAGTTGTTTGTAATTGAATCCAAGAGGGTCCAGTTGAGGGCTGGCAAAAAGGGATTTTAGTTAATCTATATGATTATCCGTTATTTAAAAGTTAATTACGTTTTTTCACGTCTGTTTTACAGCAAGTGTGGAATTGGCCCCAAACTCAGAGTCCGTCTGGGTACTCAGTCCTGTGTCGGTTTAATGTTGGTGTCCTTCTTGGCCTCCTCCTATAGACTTTGTGTTGCCTTCGACTTAGGAATCTTGGCCTTGGCGGATGGGACAGTGAACTCAGTCTTCATCCACTGACTTGAGGATTTAGTAGCTCTTGATTCGGATCCAAGAACCACACTATGAGCTAAGTAATCAGGCTTCCTGCTTTATGAGCTAAACATGTATATGTATATAATATGTATATATTGTATATGTATGTATATTTTATATATATATGTAGTTGAACAACATTTGAGCTATGCAGGCCCACCTATGTGTTGATTTTCTTCCACTTTTGCTACCCATGAGATGGCGGACCAAAGCCTCCTCTTCCTCCTCCTCTCAGTCTGCTCAACATGAAGATGATGAGGATGAAGGCTTTATGATGATCCACTTCCGTTTAATGAATAGTGACTATTTTTTCTCTTCCTTATAATTTTTAATAACATCTTTTATGTAGCTTACTTTATTGTAAGAATACAGAATATAATACACATGACATATAAAATATGTGCTGATCAATTGTTTGTGTTATTACTAAGGCTTCCAGTCAATAGTAGGCTATTAGTGGTTAAATTTTTGCAAAGTCAAAAATCTTACATAAATCTACTACTGTGTAGGGGGTCAGCACCACTAACTCCCATGTTGTTCAAGGGTCAGCTAGACACACATGCACACATATATGCACACACATATCTGTATATAACTTTTAATCTTATGTCTTTTGTATTCTGGGCTTGGTTTGCAATTCTAAAGTGAACGGAGAGCCAACTATTTGTCATAGAAAAGGAAAAAGATGCTACTAAAATCAACTTCAACTGCTTTAGCACCAAAGAGAGTAGCATTACTTATTCTTAGACTGATACCTTTTTATTTAAATAAAATATGTTGATAGAGAACTGTTGGTGCAATGTTTGAGTGCTCAAGAGACTGGGTTGGAGAGAAACAAAGAACCTAAGTGATAGCTTATGTCCTCTGCAGGAGAAATGAAGAGGGGTAAGGAGGAGAAAAAGTGAGAATGAGACTGGCTTTCTGGAAGTCTGAGGAGACACGCTAGCCAGTGAGGATTTCCTGTTAGTGGTGGTGACAGAAAGAAATGAAAAAGAGGAGGAATGTCTAACATTTAATTTTAAATTGTTTCTTCATGGTGTTACTATTTAATTTCCTTCATCTCTCTAGGCCTTTGGCGAAGATGAATTTCCTTCATCTCTCTAGGGCTTTCAATGGAAAGAGGCCATGTTCCCTGTCCGAGTAGACAAGGGGCCAGTGAAAAGAGAACAGATAGGAAAGGCATTCTACTTCTTGGAAGCAATATCCTTGGTTTGATTGTGCGTAACACCATCCTTGAATTCTCTTTGTTAGAAAGAGCTTCTGTATCAGCTGAGAAGGCCTCCATTTGAGCCAACACTATTCCCGATCAGCCTTGTCTGATCCCAGAATGGCTCTTCTGAGAACAGGAAGGTTTTCAATTCTTCCTACCACACCAACCAGTCTCAGGTAGGTTGCAGGACCTGGAACATCATAGCAAGTGATATTTGGGGTTCACATTGATTAGAGTCTGCCACAAAGGGCTACAGAATCTTCCAAAGGCTGTGATCTAAACATCTGCCTGCTTATTCTTGGGGTTGATCCTGGTCACCTGGAGTCTGCTTCCCAGCTTGGACAGAATAATTCCTGGACTCTGCTCTCCCTTTCCTGATATTTTTTCTTTATACTTTGCCTGGTTTCAAATCTAGATTTTTGATCTACCTCCATATTTGTCTCTAGAATAATAAGTGCCCATTCAGTTTCCCATGATAAGTCTTTTGCCTTTGTCCACAGCTGGAGAGCATTCCCTACATTTCCAGCCTTAGCTTTTCCCAGAAGGACTAGCAGAGTCTCAATCCTAATTACTATTTAAAGTAGTACCCAAGCCGGACTAGCACAACTCACCAAGCCCCAGTCCTCCCTCCCTGAGCTACTGTAAGTTCAACTGGTTGACTGGTCCCCTAGCCCCTTGCAAAGAACATGCACTCAATGTATATTTCTTAATAAATGGATGAATACTTTATTCTACTGGGGAGATAGAAGAAGAGAAACAGGAAGGACATTCTAGTAGAAAAGTAATATTAATGAGGCCAAATGTGTTCATTTGTCTTTTTACCTAATAGACAATAAAAGATTGCCCTATTGGAAGGGAAGCTCAAGGCTGGATGAAATGCCAAAGTGTCTTTTGTAAGAACTTTCCAGATATCCTTAAGCTTGTGATAGTCACCCCTGGAGTATCTTTTTTAAAGTTCAAAGATATCCATTATAGATGCAGGGGGGAAAGCACAAAAAGGAAAACAAAAACATACGTAGAGGTACATTAGGCAGGATTTAGGTACATACAGAAATTCATCAGTGAGGTGCCTAACTTTATATATATATATATATATATATATATATATACACACACACACACACACACACACACACACACACACACACACACGCACAGAGCTGTTTTTAGCTACAAATCTAGTGTGGTCTCTCCCCAAACCTAGGGAGTAGCTGAGATTCTCTGTGGGTGGAGAACCTGCTGGATGAGAATGTTGGGGCCTGTGCAGAAAATAGGATTGAAAGAACCATGGTCAATCTCATGTTTAGGAAAATTCTTGTGAAGATTTTTGTTTCTACTTGACTAGGTCATTAAAGATAAGACACTAAAGATAGGCAATCTAAATGCCATTTTACACATATGGTGGATGGATGACTCTGTGTCCTAATATTTCTGAACCCTTATATGTAAAGTAAAAGTTACCTTATATGTAAAGTAAAAAAAGTACCAATCCATATTTCCATTTCCTTTTTGCCATCTCTTGTCGACTAGACACTTTTCAGGATTTTTCCAAGGAGAGCACTGAAACTTTGTTTTGCTTTTCTGCAAAGATCTGTATATGAAGTTGTGTTTGCTGTCTGGCTTTATGAGAGACTCCATGCTTTTCTGACACTAACATTCTGGGGCTCTTTGTCCAGTCCTTCCTCCTTGGTCCTCCATGGTTCTCCTGAGATGCAGGTAACTGAAGGCTTGAGCTGGGAAAAAGCTTTTGTTCTATGATGATTCTAAGTCTTACTCTTTCATCACAAACACTAAAGTGCAGTTCTAAGCGCAAGTACAGTTTTCCTCATCTTTATGTATTTTTCCCAAGATTTTATAGCAAAGTTTTTGTTTTCTGCACCACCTCTACCCCGCTACTCCTACTTCAGCCCCTACACAGCTGAAAGCCGGAAACTGAAACATTTTTGACTGGAGCAGACAGGTGGAAGATGCTGCCAAACCATGTGTACTTACATTGGTATAGACTGGAATTTTGTGTAAGAAAAATTCACATTTTTAGAATCTTTACTATATTTGACTTACCTGGGTTAAGCAATTGCATATTTTCATGGGGAGAGGCCCAAGGCCTAGTGGCTTAATGTGCAAATCACAAGGCTGGGGCTCGGAAGGAAATCCTAGCCTCTGAGAAGTGGCAGCTGTGTAAAAACTCAACCTAGGAAGGACAAACTGTGTTTTCTCCTTCTCACCATTGCCCTCTGTCTTCCTCTTCTTCATCTCTCAGCCTATGTGAAAAAATCAAATCCAGGCCGGGCACAGTGGCTCACGCCTATAATCCCAGGACTTTGGGAGGCCAAGGCGGGCGGATCACGAGGTCAGGAGTTAGAGACCAGCCTGGCCAATATAGTGAAACCCTGTCTCTACTAAAAATACAAAGAAACAAAAAACAAAAAAAAGAAAAAACAAAAACCAACCCGGGTGTGGTGGTGCGTGCCTGTAGTCCCAGCTACTCCGGAGGCTGAGGCAGAAGAATTGCTTGAACCTGGGAAGTGGAGAGGCGGAGGTTGCAGTGAGCCAAGATCATGCCACTGCACTCAAGCCTGGGCGACAGAGTGAGAGTCCCTCTCAAAAAAAAAAATCAGATCCATTTTCCTAAAGCAACTATCTTATCCCTAAGTTAATTTCAAACCTACATGTCATCTTCCAGACCATATTTAACATTGACAATTTTATACTGACTTGGTAAAATTGGTGACAAAGATTATTTCACATTTTTGTTTCAAATATAATATAGTCAATGTCTAGTCAGTGTCAAGACAGTTTTCACCCAAATTCTGAAGGCTAAGAGAAGCATTCACCTCAAGCAGGAATGTCCCTTCTGCTTTGTGGTCATTTCTAGAAAACTTAGTGACTTTCAGAGTTCACACCTGAAGGACAACTGAGGTCAACTTGGGCTTCTTTATTTCAATTTTACTGAATTTTGATCATTAATCAGATTATATCTTTAAATTTATGGCATACACTACATACACATGCACTCATATTTACCTATAGGAATAATTGCAATAAATATATTTTTTCTCAAAGTAACAAAATTTTAACTAAAAAAAAAAAATCCAACAAGCAACTAAATTGGGACTAATCATTCATACACAAAATGCTCCTTTTGTTTTTGTTTTTTGGCTTTAGAGAGAAACCAAATCAACGATCTGTCAGACTCCTACCGCACATTAGAAGTAAGTCACGCGTAATACAATGATCTAATAGTAGATAGCAATGGATCTTATATAAGAACTGAAAAAAAGTTAGAATTGAAACAATGTCATGTGAACATGAGGGGGTTGGAAATATTTTTAAACGAATGTTTCTCATTGTTGCATGGGTAGTGAGAGTAACTGCCAAAATGTGGGCAAAACTGGAGAATTATGCAATGGGAGGAAAGAAATCAAAACCTGCAACATAATTTTGACTCTATTGTTATCAGAATTTTTTTGGAATTAATAATAAAATTGAGCAGGTGGAATGAGTCAGTTGATGACTCAGGAAGGCCCATAGGAAACTTAAAACTGTTAAGCAGAACACTTGTTCCTCACCACGAATTTCAGTTTTCTTCAAATGGTCTTTCAACAGAAAATTGCATCTGTAAGATCTCCATCCCCCACCCCTACAACCCACATTTGACTTTAAGCCTTTATGAAAATGATAGACTGCCAGTACAGATTGTTCACGTCTTTTTTTTTTTTTTTTCAATTTTAGGAAAACAAATGAAACAAATGTTTTGAAGATGTCTCCAGAGGTGCCCAGTAGAAGGGAGTGGGAATGGAGATGTAAGCGAGGAAATGGTCTGTTTTGTGCCTTGAAATAAACAGAGTACTCTGAGTTCTGGCCTCGACTCCCACCCGTATCCTTGAAATGGTTTTCTAACTTGTCTCCCTGGTAGAATCTTTCTCCAGTGTTTCCATGACACTGCTGGAGGAGTGATCTTTGTGAATCACAGTGGTGATCATGATGACCTTCTGATGAGAATTAGGCAGTATCTCCCCCTGCGGCTGCCCCACGTCCTTCCACTGTAGCTTCTTTCATCTACTTTTAGGCTCTGTCAAACCCCTGCACCCTGGTATACATTTGTCTCTCTCAGAAGGATGGCGACTCCATGTGGATGCTGACTTTGTTTTTCACTTATCTCTGTGGTTTTTTTGTTTGTTTGTTTTTTGTTTTTTTTGAGACCGAGTCTCCATCGCCCAGGCTGGAGTGCAGTGGTGTTATCTCAGCTCACTGTAAGCTCTGCCTCCCAGGTTCATGCCATTCTCCTGCCTCAGCCTCCCGAGTAGCTGGGACTACAGGCACCCGCCACCACTCCTGGCTAATTTTTTGTATTTTTAGTAGAGATGGGGTTTCACCGTGTTAGCCAGGATGCTCTCGATCTCCTGACCTCGTGATCTGCCCACCTTGGCCTCCCAAAGCACTGGGCACTTATCTCTGCTTTCAATTGTTGCCTCCTCCTGGAGGCCTCCCCCATCTCATGCCTTGCAAGTTGTCCATTGTACCTTCTCCTCTGTTCTCAGAGGATTTGGTCTCTGCCTCACTTAGCACTTCATAGTGCTCTGTCATGATTCACATGTTTTCTCCACTGTGTGTTCCCATCATAGTTGACTGAAACCTTCATATTTGGTGACCTTAGTAGTCCCTTACAAAGTCATATTCCTTAGTAGGTTTCAGAGGAGAGCATGCTAACAGCATGAACATACATTTTTCTGGTTGACTTTTGTATTCCTGACTGAGTCTCATCCTGGTATTTCTTGGACCTGTGGCAATGCCTTCTTTTTGAGGAAGTCCCCTCATCACCCAGTCTTCCTGCCGATACTCTCATGGAGACGGTGCCATTGCTGAGGGTGCTGTATCCTGGGGCTTCCAATCTTCAAGGTCCTCACATGTTTGCACTATCCTGAGTTACATGTGCCAGAAGGTCCCTGTATTCTGTGTAGCTATAAGTGCAATGCCTTTTTCTTCTCAGGATTCACCCTTGGTCCCCAGGGAGGGACAGGCCAAGAAGCAGGTAGGCAAGAGACTGAGGCAGATCACCATGAACTGGTTTTTCAAATTCAGTCATGGTGTATATCCAGTCTCAATCTCAGCTGCAACACCCTGGTACCTTTCTCTTTCCTTTCATCACTTAGGCAATCACAAACATTTAGGAGGTGCTTTCTGAAACTTCAGAACGCTCTGGGACTCTCTGAAGAAGGCCTTTGTGTTCCTGCAAACCTCCCTCTTGTCCCCAACCAGTTTGGTCACTGTTGTTTGGTACCCAACCCTGCTCTATTTTTCTTTATGCTGGTGAGGCTCTGATGCCTTGTAACTGAATTCCCAGGCTGAGCCACACTTCTGGTACACTTAGCCGAAAGCCTGGAGAGAACCTCCAATAAATATTACAAAGCAGGGAACAAAAATCTTAAAACTGGACACTGAAAATGGATGTCTTATAAGGGCCTCTCAGAATTTCAAATTCAATTGCCTCTGAAGCCCCCAGACAATACAATATTCTACTCTAAATAAAAACCACATACATCATGGTGCCTTTTTTTTTTTTTCTTTTTGAGATGGAATCTCTCTCTGTTGCCCAGGCTGGAGTGCAGTGACGCGATCTCAGCTCATTGCAACCTCCGCCTCCTGGGCTCAAGTGATTCTCCTGCCTCAGCCTCCCAAGTAGCTGGGATTACAGGTGCCTGCCACGATGCCCGGCTAATTTTTTTATTTTTAGCAGAGATAGGGTTTCACCATGTTGGCCAGGCTGGTCTCGAACTCCTGACCTCAGGTGATCCACCCGCCTCGGCCTCCCAAAGTGCTGGGATTACAGGTGTGAGCCACCGCACCCGGCCCATGGTGCCTTTTATTAACATTATTGAAATATAGCTCTTCATTGACATCTCAGCTCTCTATTCCAGGAAAGAATGTCTACTTTATTTTGGTAAAATTGAAGGAATACCTAAAATATTCCCACCTGGAACACAAGGATATTGTGGTTTCAAATCTCAATCTCCTTTTAAGAGGATATACTTTTAGTTATCAAATTTTTCTTACTACTGGGGGATTTATACTCAAATTACCAGTGGCGCACCCTACTGCCTGATTGCAATGATTTTCAGTGTGTGATGGACACTGTATTTGAGAGGTGTTGATCTGAAAGGAAGTTAGAGATGTCATACCTATTACCACTATGCATAATTTGAAAGTGGAGTGGAAAGATCTAGAATAGTAGAATAACAGATAACCTTAGTAATAATCTTATCCTTAGATACTGCTAGACTTCTATGAAAATTTGTCAGTACCATTCCACTCTCACTTTTCTGAAAAACTGAGTGTTTCAGAGTTCAGCATTTTTCTGATTTTATAATTTATGTCACATTTCTAGTACAGTGCGGCAGCATTCCCTAGTAAACCCCTTAATTGTGATATTTCACAATTGCCAATCAGGGATCATGGCCAATGGCAGGAAAGCAAAAGTATCCACGGCAGGTTTTGAAAAACAGTCATGAGAGGCAGCTGGCATGCACCTTTGCTCTCTTCCTCTCCATCACTGTCTCTGACTTGCTGCCTGGAAGATGAATTTAGCCATCTTGGATTCTGAGGATGAGGCATGAGGAAGGTGAGCTGGAAAGACCCTGGGTGCTAAATAAGCCCAGACAGCTCACCTCTGGGCCTCATTCGCATGACAGAGAAAAAAACTTTCTATCTTGTTTAAGCCACTGTTTTTAAGCTATTTTTTTCCCTCTGTCACATACAGCCAAACCAAACCCTAAATGATTCAGGTATTACGGAGAATGAAGATCCTAGATTTGGTGAGATTTTTAATTACTGCGCTGACCTAGTCAGTCGATGTCTCAATTTGTGTATGAGAAAGCCAGATATAAATGTATTATATTTTAGTGTGCACTATGCAGCTGATTAGATTTTCTGCATGAAAATGTGAAAGTACTACAAAAGAATTCAAAATAAAGTAGAATTTATGGACTTGGGGTGGGTCCTCTTAACTTTCCTCCTTTATCTTTGGAATAATTCTTTTTTTAAGTTTACACAAAATTAACTCATCACGGGAGAGGAAACTTCTTCCTCATCCTAACAGTAAGTTTAACAAGTACTGTAGTTTGTTTTTGCCTCAATATTCCTGATTCACATAGCATAGTGTTTAATATTGACCAAAAGATGCCTTCAGCTCACATCAGGCAGAGGAAGCGGTTACCTGATGCTGTGGTCTGTATGTCTGTTTCTCCCCTGGATTCATACATTGAAACCTAATCTCCAATATGGTGATATTAGGAGGCGAGGCGTTTTGGAGGTGGTTAGGTCTTGAGGGCAGAGCTCTCATAGATGGAATTGCTGTCCTTATAAAGGAGGCTCCAGAGAGCTCCCTCACCCCTTCCACCATGTGAGAATATAGCAGGAAGACATCATCTATGAAGCAGAAAGGGGGTCCTCACCAGACACCAAATCTGCCAGCACCTTGATCTTGGACTCCTCAGCCTCCAAAACTGTGAGACATAAATTTCTGTTGCTTATAAGCCACCCAGTCTATAATTTTTTTTTTTTTTATAGCAGCTGCAGTAAACGAAGATGCCTGACTACATTGACTAAAGATAAGATAAAACCTAATTTTAGAAAAGTTTCTTCTCATTTATTTAGGGCTTGATTCTTCCGGTACCTGGGCTGTATTCCAATGGCAAATCAGAACTTCTCTATGTATCTAAACACTGGCTTCCTGTAGAGCTGGGATTGGTCCCTCAGAACAATTGTTTCCACACTGACTTGTGGGAATCTCTTTGAATGTTTTGAAAGTTCAAGGGTTGGCAGAGTCTGGGATGGCAGGACTCTAAAGAGCTCTGAGTCAGGATATGCCTGTGCTGGTAGCTGGTCATTCCAGCTATGGATGGGTTTTATAACTATTTATGTTCTTAGCAAAATATTTTCTCTCCAGCAAAGGCCCAAATTACATTGCAACCTTATTTATTTCATTTTATTTTTAAAATTTTATCTTTTGGAGACAGAGTCTCACTCTGTTGCCCAGGCTAGAGTGCAGTGGCATGATCTTGGCTCACTGCAACCTCTGGCTTCCCAGGTTCAAGTGATTCTCCTGCCTCAGGCTCCTGAGTAGGTGGGATACCAGGCGCCTGCCACCACATCCAGCTAATTTTTGTATTTTTTTTTTTTTTTTAAGTAGAGATGAGGTTTTACCAGGCTGGTCTTGAACTCCTGACCTTGTGATCCGCCTGCCTCGACCTCCCAAAGTGCTGGGATTACAGGTGTGGACCACCGCACCCCGCCTGTAGCCTTCTTTTGTAACTAACATATATGCTCTTTTTACAGATTTCCTTGACTAGGGACTAAGATGGTTAATTTGTGGCTCTCATGAGATACAGGCAGTGTATAATAATTATTATTTTTTTCCATGGGACTGCTTCCCTAAGTTTGCTCATCTCCAGTGCAGATATTTGCCTGTTTCACTGTGGCGTGGACAAATGAGTATGAAGGCATTTGTGCAGAGGTTTTCAAACTATGTTCTTAGATCCCGTAGGATACCATAGAGGTGTCTCATGCTTTGGAGAAGAGAGTAAGATAGTTCTTGAACTTTCACCTGCCTGCTTTACTGACACACAGGTGGAGACTGGTGAGATGGGAGGAGGAGGCGAAATTTAAGGACATTCAATCAGACTATCATTTTCCTATACAACCATTAGGTGCCTACACATCTGTTAGTATTTTTTTTTTTTTTTTTTTTTTGAGACAGAGTTTTGCCCTGTCTCCCAGGCTGGAGTGAAATGGCACGATCTCAGCTCACTGCAACCTCCACCTCCTGGGTTCAAGCAGTTCTCCTGCCTCAGTCTCCTGAGTAGCTGGGAT